GTCCTGAAATATCAGATATCAAAATGACTAAATTGTGGTGTTTTTTTTTATCGTATCCAAAAATACAACGAGTTTTTCTGACAATATGCAAAGTGATCTAATTCTACTTCAATGGCTTTAATAAACTACAGTCCGTAGTATGGCTTGAGGACCTATATGTATTTGAGATACTGAGTATATGTAAATATGTTGTATCTATTCAATATACCACAGACTAAACTATCTACTTTTGTAAAATAAATAGGAATCCCGCCAACTATGAATGTTGATCCAGTTTCATTATATTTACCTTTCTTCAGTAGGGGTATGGAAGATATTCTTCAATTCTTTGTGACGTGCCTCATTAGCACCCTGTGTTTGAGGCAAGGCTAATATAAGGAATACCACGCTTATGGATCACGCCTAATATGCGTATATGCACAGTCCTGCAACTGTCTACGGGTGCTTGTCTGATATTGCATAAGGTATGTTATAGCCCGAAACCACACATAAGAAATGACAAACCTATACATCGTCAGTGTGCCTGTGTCGCGGGATTCTTACGAATATTCCTCGGCGCATAGGCTGATCTCCTATAACTCGTTTCAAATGTGCCGACTGTAGAGCTTATCAGTACATCTGTATAGTCGACGCAGAATAATCTAGCTCCGAACAAATCGTCGTTTAGTTAGGGTGCTCAAACATTAGACGAGTATGGTTATGCAGTATTTATTTTTACTTTCGAGCTCGGATAACCTATTACTCAGTAGCGAGGGGAGTAGAATCGTCGTCAGTAGACGTTTGGGAAACGCGATTTGTTAACATGTAGCAGATAATAAACTGTTTAGTAACGCCTGGTTGTTCTTTAAGCAGCGCGCCTTTAGTAAGTGTGTTTGAGCTTCAGGTTTGTTTGTAGAGATTTGAGTCTATGGTCCAAGGTCTTAGCAAGTTTTTACGATACTGTCACGTTTTAATAGGCATCATATCAACTGTATTGTTGGTTGCCGCCACCGTTGCCATTACCACCACGACCACCTCAACCACCGAGTACTTGTATTGTGTTAGTCTTACAGACGTACTGTTATCAAAGGTAATCTGCCAGGTATTTAGCAGAATGACGTATTAGTGCTTGCAGGACCGATGAGACAAACGGTGGACTACATCTACGTTTCTATTTGATGAAGCGTCGGTTTCACGGACAACATAGATAGGTTTGTCTTGTGTCATGGTAGTTAGTATACACATCCGTAGATCTGATATAGTAGCGTTAAGAATACAACAAAATAAAAGAATTAGTAATTGTTACATAATTAACAATGGAAGTAGAATTTGCTAACGTATGTTAATACTTCGCATATTTGAAAGACATCAACTTAAGTTAGTCAGTGACATACATTGGGATATTTGTTTGTTGTGTTCAGCAGTAATCATGACAACTAAAGTGCACAGTCTCCAGCGTGATTGCTCCAAATTAAACTATCGTTTATTCAGCATTCCAACAGTTAGTAGCTAGTATTACCCTTCTACGTCCTCGGCAAATCAGGAGCTAAACGAGATAGAATGGCAGGAAGTTGGTTATACATATACCCCTGGTATGTGTGTGTAGCGTATGGATGACTGAGCAATCGCTGTGTGATTCCAGCGAGAGGCTCATTAACTGTAAATCGGAGTTCTTATCCTTGAGGTATGTTAAGAAATTCTGATTGTCTTTTAGCTGTCTTAGCGCAGTAATGATAGCAAGTAGTTTCTCATTTTGCTATCGATAGGGTAGTTCTATTTACGCTTATTGTAACAACTCTTGGTAGAGTATTGTACATAGCAGGGGTTTGCCGTTGATAATTTAATATAGCGTTTTACCTATAGCACAATCAGAACCGCATGTATCTACTTCAAATGGTATTGCGTTCACAAGAAATTGCATAATAAGTACATCCACAAGCTTACCGTCACTAGTTTGAAAGACTTATTATATTCTTCAGTTCAAAGCTTTCCCAGTTTGCCTTTTGAAAAGATGATGACTGAAAGGTTTTAGGTGTTGGTGGGATAAATGAGATGAGATACCAAATCCGGAAAAGGGTTTAATAAAATCTCACGCCGCTTGACATCCTTCCAAGTTTTAGCCGTAGGTATTTCAAAGATAAACCGTGTCTTCACTGGATCTACCTTTATTGCGGCGGCTGATATACTGTAGAGAGGTATCTGGACAGCATCTCTAGCAAATGTGCACTCCAAACCTGAACTTGGCTTCAACTATCTCGAGTTTAGCCTCATTCAGGCCTTAAATTGCAAGCTTAAGTGAGCTTTGTATACAGCTAAGCTGTTGTTAAGGCGAATGCAACTATGTCGTCTAAATATACGTACGCGTTATCTGTGTAAAAATAGCGGGTTCTTTGATGATCATTCCAATACATTCGTGTGCACGCGTATATTTACATATATAGAGTACATTTAATAACCACATACAACCACACTGAGTATGGCCTGTCATACTGAATATGTGCTAGCATGCACATACCAAATACAAAATAAATCACCTGACAGCCTATCAAACTAAATGTGCACAAGCACACACATGTGTACATATATAGTATGAGTAGGTAGTATGGCACATTTCTTCACTGAACACGAGTGTGTTCAAATGCATTTCACACACATATACAAATATACATACCATAAGAATAATACGTGCGTGTTCAGATACACATATATAGAGTATGAATGAATAGGTTCAAACTTAGCCTGTCACACTGAATTCGTGCCTGTAGAGGCACATAGCACTCGAATATATAAAAACGCACATATATTGCCATACTGGATGCACGTATGCCCGCATATATGACTGGAATTCTCAATTCTGCCGTATTGAATACGCGTGTGTCAATGTAAAAATATATAAAGCATGAACAAATAACTTCGCATATATATACTGAAATCGAATATGCACGTAAATATAAGACTCGAATACACGAATACGCATATAGTCTGTCGTACTTAACGAGACATCCTCCTTTCTATAAATGATAACAATTCCGCCTCCTCACAGGCCCGATTTAGATTGTTCCACCACTCACTGATGTGTTCTACTCGACATTTCATGAAATTATCAACCAAAGATCGCCTTAGCCAGAGCGGCAGCAGAAAATCGATACTGACGTAGCGATCACATCTCTCCCACGGGTGAATAAGAAAAAAGAGCAAATTCTTTCGATTGTCGGCTTGTCAGTTATACGTCCGTATAAGGCGACGGTAAACATAAAGACTGACGGTAGTGAAAATGCAGAAAGAACACTTGTCGGGCATATCATATACAAACTCACGGTCAACAAACAATAATTGATCCAGAATGTGGAATCAAATGTATTAAATTTTGCTCAAAATTAGGATGATGATGATTTCCACGTGCTCCTTGAGGACAGACAATATCGTATACACAGATCTCTCATGCTTTAAAGCTCAGCGTGTTTCCTTTGCGTACGAATAAATGCCTATTGAACACACTGCATGCTACATACTGGTATGCGACAAATTGCACCTGAAATACTTACAGATGATGCGGTCGTGATTTATGACAAATACGGGTGTGGCGGTAAATATCCCGGCTGAAGATCAGCACGATACACTAATTAAGATCATATTCAATGATCTCGATATCAATGAAAACTTTCGTACTGTGTTAAGGTATACAGAAGCCAACTAAACTTAGCCTTTGTTGTTGCAAATCAGATTTATAATGACTGCACAGTCAAAACTTTAACTATGAAATAAACAAACAAATCTAAGCAGTTGAAAGGTTGATTCATACACTTTATTGCTGTGATGGGCAACCATCTAGTATGCATTAGGAATGTAATAACTTGCTAAGTCATAGTATGCGTGTTTCTAGTGGGGGCAAGGCGTATTGTATAATATTATCTAATTTTATCTGCCGTATAACGTCTTCACGGACTATCTGTTTGAATTCATTGGTTTAAACTCCTCCGCACAATTTGCACTTTTTGTCGCTTTTATCTTAGCACCCGCTGTCGCCGGAGGTAAAACAGCCTGAAACTTGAAGGCATATGCTTCAAGGAAGTCGCTACCGGCACGCTGACATAGCTGTGAGAAGTAGCTTTCGAGTATGTTTAGTGTGATAGCGTGCGTGCGCTTCTCTAGCACGGGGACTTGACTGTAGGCTCTGTAGGGTGAAACGAATGTTTCCATATGTTACGAGATGTGAAAACCTGGCTTTCTTCTATTAGTGACCAGCTCAGCTACATCAGACTCGTCTTTAACATCATCAAGGACACTTGCTTCCCACTTCTTCTTGCCCGATAGGTTGCCAAAGCAGAATACTAACCATTGGATGCAGCTTCCTCATATACCGCGTAGTAGCAGAATATTCAGGGTCAACTCTATCGCCAACCCATATAGCTATCACATCGACGGCAACATGTATTCTCGTCTTCTCACTGTAAAGGTTCAAGCAAAAGTTTTTGATGCCCTGTTGTCATGTGCTGTGTGTATTGGTGCCATGTTTTAGCAATGTGCGAGCAGAAATGTCATATATTATACAATGTCTGAATCAAATGTTAAAAAGGTCAATTGAGTGACTATATCAGTTCAGCATAATTCATTGCACAATCAGTATTCTGTCAATACTGATGGTGTTTTTTTACCGGTTATACCGTGCAATATGTGTTTGTGTCAATCAGAAGCCCTGATCTTTGTACCTTCCGTCAAGCTGGCCGCTTCTAACTCTCCTGTATAGTGGTACTATTGGATCCCAGTCAATCGCAGAGTCTTTCTGCGGATATTTGCCTTCTATATTCAACACACTCATTGGTTGATGCAATCACAACGTTGCGCAAGTTCTTCATTCCATGACTAGCAAATATACAGTAGTACGTAGCGGTTTGAGTGGCTGAGTTACAGTGAGTGAGTGCAGAAAGGCTTTCAGAACTGTGCTATTTATACTACACCGTTTACATTTGTGAAAATCCTGATAAATTTGACATTCGCGGGATACCCGTCACATACGGACGGACAGATTTATTTTGAATCCCTGAGAATTCATAGCGTAGAACACCGATTTGAACACGCTGAATATATGTTCGGCTCTCAGCCCGTTCGTTGATTCTATGTATAAACACATGCTATCAAAGTCTGATGTACCTTTCCGGAAAATGGTTTACATGGCAGATCTAGTATATTCACGCTGACCAGGTGACTGAGACTATGCAAATATATACTTTAGGTTAGTTGCACTTTTGAAATCCCCAAGCCATCGCATGAATCGTTCTTAAAGCTGACTAAAACGACAGCAATGAGGTGTACTTCATCAAGCATTAGTATACAATTATTTGCCTATGAGATCAAGCTCGAGCATATGCCCGTGGAGAAGTTAAAGCTTAATTACGTTGTATATGAAAATTCAGTAAAACTTTGAATGAGAAGTATCACTCGCGTCCGCAACTGGCACAATGTCTACGCTCACACTCTTGTCCATATATGGGACCACAGCTGTAAAGTTAGCGTTCGCGTCTGCATTGGTGCGGGCATTCACGAGCTCGTGCATGCCCAACGCCTATCAATGTCGATGCCGCGCGGGGGAAAAGGGAAAAATGGTCTCTGGATCAAAGATGGTGAACACTCTCGAAAGGTGGTCGATGAAGAAGGCGCGGTTGACGGCGTCGGGGAACAGCTCCCCTCGTCAACAGGCCGATTATAGAGTATATTCTGTCATGTAAGCGAGGGCAGTGTGGACAGTGTAGTGGGGCATTTTAGAGAGCATAGACAGCGCGGAGGTAAACACGGATATGTCGGTCATCTAGAACTGAAGTTTGAAGTAGAAGATCTCGTAGGTGCAGGAAGGCACACGGTCTTGACAGTTTTTTAGCGCACCATTTCTGCCGGGGTCTCGAAACATTTCCCGCGCGCATGATCATTGTGGACGACACTATTCACATAAAAGGGCGGGGGGTGTTAGTGGGGGGGGGGGGGGTGGTGTTTTGATTTATCGCACGCAACGCGTGGTCCGTGCAGACAGAGTATCCAATTTCCTCATCATGGATCAACAAAACGTCTATATATGTGCAGAGATGTGTTGTGTATGGATGTGCATAGAGAGAGAGAATATAGGTGTGTAGAGGAGGTGCACAGTTATGTAGAGAAGGTAAAAAAGTGTGTTGAGAAGGTGTATAAGTGTGTAGAGAAGGTGCATAAGTGTATAGCGAAGGTGTATAGGTGTGTAGAAAAAGTCTATGGTTGTGTACAGAGGTCTATAGGCGTGTACAGAGAAAGTGTATAGGTGTGTATAGAAGGTGTATAAGTATGTAGAGAAGGTGACACGTAGTATATAGGGAAAATACATGGGTGTGTAGAGAAGGTGTATACGTGGGTAGAGAAGTTGCATAGGTTTGTAGAGAGGGTGTATAGGTGTGTAAAGGAGGTGAATAGGTGTGTAGAGAAGATGTATAGGTGTGTATGGAAGGTGTGTGTATGGAAGGTGCATAGGGTGTAGTGAAGATGTATAGGTGTGTAATGGGGATGTATAAGTGTGTAGAGAGGGTGTATAGGTGTGTAAAAAAGGTGCATAGATTTGGTGAGGGGTATGTATGAGTATGTAAAGAAGGTGGTCTTTAGAGAAGATGAATAGGGGTGTAGTGAGGATGTTTAGGTGTGCAAAGGACGGGTATAGGTGTGTAAAGAATCTACGGAGGTATACAGTGAGGGTGTATAAGTGTATAAACAAGGTGTATATGAGTGTAGAGTTGGTGTTTAGGTGTTCAGACAAGGTGTTTAGGTGTATCGAGAAGGTGTATAGGCGGATAGAGCAGGTGTAGAAGTGTGTAGAGAAGTACAAGTGTGTAGAAGAAGTGCATACATACATAGAAAAGTTGCATGGGTGTGTAGAGAAGGTATATATGTGTGTAAAGAAGGATGTGAGTATAGTTGTGTAGGGAAAGTGCACAGGGGTGCATAAAAATTGCTTGGACTGCCTGTAAACCAAATCTTACTAGATACACACCCACTTATCGATACATGCAAAGAACAGAACATAGTCTTATATAAGGACTGGGACAAGTTCCTATTACATATAGAAGGGTGCATCACATTAATCTTAGAGTGGGTAAGCTCCACACATCCACCTGTTTGCATGTTTGACGGTAACCGAATAAGTGGGAAACTCGTCAACGAAAGTCGATCTTCGTCTCGAAAGTCTAAATTAGACATGATTAAGAAGTATACAGAGGCAAGAATGGACAAGAACGAATTAGAAACTTTTGGCTTGGATGCAGCGTGTAGAGTCTGTATAGGTGCGCAAAACCTCGTAGCTGCGCGCTACAATATGCCACTGCTAAAAAGAATGGGCATACAATACATATCAGCTCCAACTGAAGCTGAACAGGAACTAGCGCATCTGCAACGAATTGGGTTTATTAAATATATACTTGCTTATGACAGATTGTCTGGTAATTGGTGGTAGTAACTTAATATTAGATACCTGTTGGAGGAGGAGTATAGCACAAGTACTGAATCTTTAGAGTGTGAAGGATAAAGTTTGTCTTAGTTGGGATGAACTCTGTGAGAGCGAGCCGACGTATAGAGATAACGGCAACGCAAAATTGTGCCACGAGCAATGCAGAAGACACCGGGTTTTCTACATAGTGTATCAATACGCCCGATTTTGTTAAAGCGATTACCGACGACGTACGGATGTCGGTATATTTAGGCTGCTAGAAGCACAAGCCGGCTACGAGGGAATCAAGCCATCAATACGAGAGATAGTCGCGGATGATATATCGAAGTGGATGTTTCAAAAGATACTTTCCACTGGATTCCCAGACAAGGACCCGTTATCCTGTTGGTGAATCCAAAGGTTGCAATACGATGGATATCGAGTATTACGATGTGGTTTCATATCCAAGTTGTCCACGACCATCGCCATATCTACTATAGAACCATCGCCATATCTACTATGGAACCATCGCCATATCTACTATGGAACCATCGCCATATCTACTATGAACAGAAGCACACGATTCACTACCCTACCACAACATGCGGCTGACTGATTTACATCGTTCTGCTATTCCAGTGGGTATAACAATACCCAAAGGTACTGGTCGTCTACTGCTGGTTCAACGCCAAAAGTAGTAGAACTGTGTTTGATGATCCCTCAAAGATTCAAGAGAACCCGTCTATGATTCTACATGAATGTCTTGCGCGATAGAGGAGGCTTTTGTCACAGCTTGAAAATGCCATTTTTAAAGTGTACACACAAGCTACTTTGAAGCATGTGAAGGTTTATATCACATCTTGGGTAATTGCCAAAAAAAGCACAAGGCCTTAACAGTACGATCCAAAATACAGCAAGAGATTGACTGTATCGCTACTGGTTGTTCTCGGTAACAAAATTGAAGATGCAAACTCTGAAGAAAATGTTTATTGCTACTACGTCGGTGCAAGCGTTGGACGTAAAGGAAAGCACTGATGGTGACAACATGTGGCGTAACAAGAGTAGAATTGCGACTATTAATGCTTATGTTCATTTTTCCAATATGCTGAGAGATTTCTATGATTACGGCGACCAAGATATTGCGGTCGGTCGCCGCTGCACAAACATGTTTGATGTGTGGCGAATGACACCCTTGAATCGAAGGCCACAACCAGTTGACATCGCACAAGAGAGTATGTTTAGAGTGCTCTTAATACGCTCCCTGACCAAGAGGGACGTGTACGCATTGATTGTTCAAGTATGTGTGCAACCGAGGACCAATAAACGCATCACAGTAACTATAGAGAGGGTGTTTTCAGAAGAGATAAGATGCAATGTAGGTACATATGGTATGGCTCTCATGGCCGTTGTAGTGTTTCGGGGAAGATAGATGGGGAGAAGTCTGCACCGTGTAGTACGTACCGTGGAATGGGTTAATGCAGAGTATGAAATGCCGAGTAGGACCAGGTATGTCACAATTCGGTTGAGGAGAGAGGTTGGGGGTGAGCCGATGCCGCACCAGACCACGGATGCACTGGTATGTGCTGGTTGGCCTGGATCGGAAGTAGCACAGGCGATGACTTGATTTGTACCGAAATTTAGAAGTAGTACTTCAACAGCGTGATTAGTCGGATTATGGGAAACATCTGTTGATGTGTCAGAGACGGGTAGGGATACGAGGTTGTTCTATATGCTGGAGAAAGGATCCAAGGTGTTCGTTGAGGGCCCAGACACCGTGGAAGTCGTGGCGCACCTGTAATTGTTGGAGGAGGTCAGGGCCAATGGGCAGAGGTAGTTTCAGGCCTACCAGGATGCGTCGGACCAGTAGCTGGATGCAGGCAAAGTGGCTGGTGGTGAATTGTTGGCCACCGGGGCAGATAAGGCAGAGACAGCCGTCGGTGCGGTAGTCGAGCAATGTGAGTATGTACGTATTCGTTACAATCATAGCACAGAGCCGGATTGGTGTAGGAAACAGCAGTTGAAGCTGTCATGTCTGGCTTTGTTCCGATTTGAGGTTGGCGGTTTGCCCATGATTAGTTCATAGTAGTATTGGCAGCCGGGCCATTGCCGCGATCTTCTTGTGTTTGAACCAGCATTTCGTTAAGTTCTTCCTATTGTCGTCACAGCGTCGGCGGAGGGCTACATGGTCGGGTGTACGCCCGCCCGTGGTATTGTATACAGTTTTCAGGTGGGCATAGATACTGTACGGGAAGTCCAGTGATGGTTTGTCGTGTGTCCAAGCAGGTTGCGTCAGATGGGTGAGTGGGTTTGGGCTCGCCAATGAGTCGAGTTGAAATCCCAGGCAATGTGGTCACAGCGTGGGGTGCAGGCCACAAAAGTGGAGAAAGTTTGTTTAATGTTTGGGAAATTTAGGGTATTTAGTGCTTGTGATGATGGCTGCTGCTTGGATGAGTGCTCAGTTATAGCGCTCGAACAGAGGATCCAGCGCATCCTTCCATATAGGCGGAGCCCAGGCAATACTGTTCAGGCTATTGAACAGCACCAGCAGGTTGCGGGGGTGTCGCCAGCTGAAGCCATGGAAGCCATAAGCGCGGAAAGAGGCGATACCCAGAGACAATGCTACAACCAGGGATTCCATATGTCTGGCGAAGATGATCCCTAGTATTCCGTGAGAGAGTGAAAACCCCAGATATTTGGAGTGTTTTAGTTTGGCTTGTGTGGGCGCCATCTTCAGGGGGAGGTAACGTGTGTTCCAAGGTGCGTCCGCAAGCGTCGGCGCGATAAGTTCACCATTTATACGGAGGGTTGGCGCCGCGGATTTACGTCCCCACGCATCAATGTCATCTAAGAAGGGCTGGAGCGGAACCGATTGAGGAGCTTGGATCCGTGTGTCATCGACAAATATATAAGAGCGGAGGAGTTTGGGCCGAAATTGTGCTAGCGGGACAGCAAAGGAATCCATGTAGATAATAAAAAGCTGGGGGCCGACAATTGAAGGATGCCATCCGTTCTATGGAATAGAGGCGAGAGCGTGCAGCGGTATGTCACTCGGGTAGGGACTCTCTTAAATAGCGCGCGGAGGCAGCTGATTCAGTTTTCGGGCATTCCAGCGTGGCGCAAGAGTACCCATAGGCGTGGGAGAGCAACCGCGTCGTATGCCTTGGTAATGTCCAGACAGACGTCGTTCCACTCTTCTTCTGACTGTGTCTCAGATTCCATGGCGGCAATTGCTTGGGTATGACAGGAGTACCGTGATTTGAAGCCAGCTTGGGTAGCATGGGTAGCAGAGCCGGGTTGGCTTGTAACCAGATTAAGAAAGCACTTTTCAAAGATGCGTCTAACTATTTGCGTTGGTGTGATGGGGCGAATGTCGGCGAGGGAGGTGATATCTGCATCGGCTTTCTTTGGGTGCGCTGTCATGAGGCTGCAGTTCAGGGCTGCAGGGAAGGTACCCGCCTTCAGTAGCTCAGTGAATGTTTCGGCAAGGAGTACAATTAGTTGGCTATTGGCATCGGGGCGTCCTAATGTCCGGCGTTCGGTGGTATATTATAAACGCATTAACGCATTAACGTTTATTCTTAAAACAATTGAATACGTTTAATGAATTGGACATGAACAAGAACTGAGATATTCAAGATTCTGAAGATGTGATAGTACTCAGTAGAGTATGTGACTCTATTGTGGACAATTAGGTGGTTTTCCAAATAGAGATTGGGTTTTCCACTGAAATTAGAATTGTACATAATATAGGAATGATACAAATCTGACACCTGAAATGACACTTTGGGAATCTCTAATTAACGGGAGTACCTTGAGAGAGGGTCTCAGGCATGAAATGATTGTTGGTACAAA